TTTTCATGCGTGGAAAGTTAATATAAATTATGAAATAACACTTCAATTGTGTGTGTGTATATAAACAGTACACACGTAAGCGAGGGAAGGGCTACCGCACTTCCCCCGAAAGCAGGTGGGAGGTTGGGGTGAACCTCGGTTCGCGTGAATAGTTGAAAACACAAACCGTGACAATGATAAACCTTGTTTCGCCCTATATTCAAGTCAGAAGAGAGAGGGTAGACCTCGAAATATCTTACGTTGTTTACGTTTTTGTCTCGAGTGGAAAAGGTATGCGTGTTCTTGTATGGGTGTATCAAGACGATACAGAGCGGTACGGCGGGTTGCCCATTCGAGCAGGCGCGCATGATCGTTCACAATTGCGTTGACTTCGGTGCATCACCTATAATCGCTCGCATATCTTTTTTACAATAAAATGGACTTTGTAGCGCCCGAAGTTGCAATACAATTGTGACGGATTTCCGTAGCAGTAACGTTAAAACAGAAGTCGAGATGAAAATACAGGTTATAAAATAAATTTTATTAAGAAAACGAAAGACATCTTCTCTCTTACGAAAAAAGCTCGTACCATAGTCTATTATAATTATTATATATTATAATTTTATTACTTAAATTATTTTTTGCACACAATGTTTATGCACAGGACAAAAGTCAGCAATTAGTATATGTGTGCAGTCGGCGCGAAGTTAAGGTTGGAAAATATGTAAAATAAAAATAAAAATAAAAACTTTCGCGCATCATCATTTACCGCGCTTGGTTCTTAGTTAGCCCGTTTTCTATATTCATACAATAAAAAAAATTATACACTACCCTCCATAAGTTTGAAAACACTCTATAAATAGCAATATACAGAAAATAGTACATAATAGTACATATGTCATCCAACAGGCTTTTAAAATAAAGAATTTCCATTAATTTTTACATTCCTCAAAGTAACCACACCTTTTGCTTTAATGACTGCCTTGCATATTCTCGGCATACGGTGGATCAACTTTTGGAGTTCAGTCGGGATACGTTTCCATTCTTGCTGGAGAACTTCCCAAAGGTGCACCTGTAACTTGTGATTCGCTGTTCAACAAATTTAACTCCGAGCACTTCGGTGTCGCGAAATAATCATCCGACATATTTTTGGCATGTACAAGTGTTGCAAGTGTCTTAGGTGGAAATATATATGATTATTTGAACGTCTTACGATATATTCATACCAAAAATTTGCACAGATCGATTTTACAGATATTAATCTGTAAATAGTCGCACGTACGGCATCTGTCATAGAGTGTTTCCAAACTTATGGAGGGTAGTGTATATAATAAAAAATAATAATTTATATGTAATAATAAAATACAAATTTGGTTTAGAGTATCACTTGCTATAATTATGAAAAGAAAATGTAAATGTCTAAAATTGTTAATATATTGCTGGACATTATTTTATGTAAAATATGCATCTATATTTAGTAATACACTTCGCCCAATAATTAAAGAGTCAAGAAAAATGATCTAAAAAATAAGCCAATTTTAAACAGCTGTAACTTCCCAGATAGCAAAGTGTGTCTGAGCAAAATCGCGCAAACCTGTGATTGCTTCTGATGGCAACTTGCCGTACATTTGCTTCAATTAAT